CCCGGCAGCATCGCCGTCACGCGGGGACCCTCCTCACCATTTCCCCGCCTTCCCCCAGCTATTCGCGTCGCGTATGTTTGCATCTGTTCCATGGTGTGGTGTGACCGACGCATGTCCACCGCCAGAGACGCTTCCCAAAGTGATGCTGCCGTGTAATCAGCAAGCGCGCGGGTGGCGTCCTCGGTTGTGAAAAAATCGCAGCGCGACGGAAAAGACGCACGGAGAAATGCCTCCAAGTCAACAGCAACGGTTGGCTCCTTCATGACAAAGGCACACGCGCCAAAATGCGTGTATGTGTGCGTGTGTCCTCGTTCTTCTCGTGGGGCGCGGATGCCTGAGAGGAGAGCGTGAGCAGACAGAGCGCAGCACCTTGTGACTGCACCTTTTCCCTTTTTGCGCCTTCTTTCTTCTGGCACAAGATGCTGCTCTATCCCCCTATGTGTGTTATTTGTATTTTCTACTGTGTTTGAACAATAAAATTATAAGAGGGAAAAAATGTCGAAAGAAAGCAAAACATCAGCTAACAAAAAAAATAAGAGTAAAATGGAAAAGCGGTCTTAAATGCTATCAAGGTGGCGCTAATTCTACGCAGCCACTAGGTGTTTGCTCAAAAATAAGGATATTCATTTCCGTTGTCAAAATATCCAGCAAATTTCTCTGCAGAATGTAAGCTGCGTGTATATGTGTGTTTGCTTCTGATCACCCGTGATGAACACGGCTACTCAAAAAGTAGTTGGTTGTAGGAGTAATTCCTGTTGCCGCAGACATAGTACCATAACACCGTCAGACTGTACAGGCCCGGAAGACTCAGCAGACCTCCCAAAATGAGCAAAGCACAACCACGTGGATTGTCTCCCACAATTCGTAAGCAAGCCAAGCCCAACGCCAGAAACGTGATGCCCGCACCAAATAGAGCAAAACCCACAAAAAATGCACGCCATCCATTCCAATAAATGTTTTCAATACGCCATCGTGCTCCTTTAGGATCTTTGGAATCCAACCAGTGATATATAAAATGTAAATGGTCATTACCTGGCCCTTTTTCCACCACCTTCACATTTTTCTCCCTCATCGCACTCGGAACACTTCGCGTCTTGGCGTATTCCATCACTAATTGAAACTAAAAACACGCGGACACGCAAAGAAAAAAAAAAAAAAGAAAAAGAAAACAATCGGAAAGATAAGAAACGTTAAAAAAATTTTATTGTGGTGGCAAACCAATGCAATGCAGCAGTTTTTTTTTCTTCTTTTTTTTTTTTTGCGTCGGTGTCAGTATGAACGCACAAGTGAAATATTTTTTCTTCCTCAATGGAAAGTCCATGGCACTATATTTGTTCCTTTTCCCGCATCCAATGTACAAGACAACCAGATGAAAACAGCAGCAAGATATATTTTTTAGTTTTTTCTTTTTTGTAAAAAAAATAAAAAAATAACAACAACAAATACTGCCAATCGCATTTGGAGCCTTCTTTTTTTTTTTTTTTTGTTTCGTTTTGTTCTTCATGGCTACACTCCCACAGAAGAGAACGGCGGGGCCCCGGTATTCTGAAAGAGGTGTGGATACTCCCGCTTCAGCGTGCCAATGATGTTGTCGACGGAGGCCCTGATATCTCTTGCCGACCCGGCCGCACGCGATATGGTTCTAACAAAATTCAAGTCATTGGCCGATGCGAGACACGCAGAAACGGCTGCCACAACTTCCTGCTGCTGTGTTTGGTAGCCTTGAAACATGTTAGGATAGCGCTGAGCAAAGAACTGATCAAGCGTGAGTGTTGGATTCAATCTCGATGCAACCTCATATTCCTCCTTTATCCGCCGCTGCTCCCTGTACGGTAGCAAGGCCCGCATAAGCGTAAAGTACGACACGGAGGAAAGGGGCAGCTGCCACCAAGGAATGTTCTGCATGATGTTAAAAGGAGAGTTTTTGTCGCTGATTTGCAAAAGGGCCATAAGAAGAAGCAGCGAGGTCAAAAAAAACATAAACCGAAAAAACATCATGGAAGAAGGGGTCTGTTGAGCGCCGCACGTCCCGTTGCTACAACTCTCAGGGCCCTGCTGCGCGTATTGCGGCATAGCCTCTTGGATCTTTTGCGAAAAGCGTTCACGCAGATGTCGTTCCCGCTCCAGCTCCTCCTTGTCTTCTTGATCCATTGCGGACTTGTTCGCCTTGTCTTGTGTGCGGCGTGTGGTGCACATGTAATTCCGTGGCTCCATTAGAACCAATGAAGAGAATAAAACCCGCTTCTGCAGTGCTCTAATCATCACTCGACCCTTTCTCTCGTTATATCCACTCCTCAAAGTTGCCGCTATAAATATACAGATAATAATGCCAAACAAGCGTAATCTCGCCTTCTGTTCCTCGTTACTGTCAGAAACCGACAAGCAAAAAAAAAAAAAAGACTAAAATATCACAGACCCAACAGCCCTGGCAGCACGCATTAGAAGGAAAAGAAAAGTCAAAATAAGCATCCAGTCACGCTACAATTCTCGAAAAAAGCGGTAACACAAACAAATCGCGCCACTTAGAGAAAAAATAATTGACCGACATTCATCCCCATCATCATTCATCAGTAAAGGGAGTAAAAAGATGTCATTTTGCGTATGTGCATTCGTACTTTCACCCGCTTGTTGTCATAGACCTCCCGATCAATGCCCAACTCCTCTGCCCCAGGCAAATATAGCCAACACCAGTTGTGGCCCAGATCTTGAATCCCCGTACGACGGTCCTTCTCACGAAATTCGATGAGTCTGGGATCAACACGGACTTTGTACTGCTCCCAAAGCTTCTGTGCCACATCCCTTTTTCGCAGTGGGCAGTTGATAAGAAAGCCTTGACCCCATGACTTTCGTCCAAACAAGAGGTATCCTGTGTTTACTCGCCAGTAAACATCAAGCCACTGTCTCTTGCGTGCGGCAAAGTCCAGAAACTCTTCATTGCGCTCTATAAAACGATCATATTGATTTGTGTCGGGGTTAAAACACCAAAGCCCTTGTCGAAGTTCCTCCGTAGGCATCACGGCGTGACCATCCTCGATGTATTTTCGTGCCATCTCGAGTTTCACAAGACGTTCCTCACCGGCAAAACCACCATTTGGTCCAAGGATGGTCCGTGTGAACAGCAACGGTACGTACTCCAACTGCAGCTCTGGAGCCATCTCGCGAAAGAGACGCGTTAGCCGCAACATTTCTCCCCTACCCTATACAATTTCACAAACGCCGAAACTCCCTCGGCTTTATTTCTCCACAGCAAAAAGAAATAAAGTGTAAAGATGACAGTGAGACATTTCCATGCACATAAAAGAACGTCCCCAACACTTCCTCCCGTACCACCGTTTTCGCTCACTCACGGAAAACGCGTCTGCCTTGCCATTGACACAAGAAGAACAACGGCAACAAAAGATATATATATTTTGAACTGTGAGCAAAGCCACTCTCCCATGACACACACACACACACAAACATAGCTATCATCGTTGTCATCTTTGTTCTCTCCCCCGTCGCCTTTCCCTCTTATTGGCAACATCTACTATCGATGCCACCGCTGTCGCATTGCCGTTTGTTACCAGACTGGGGATTACCCCCGCCGTTTTCTCCCTTCTCTTATTCTGTCTGGTAATCACATACACTGGCCTCTGTGGTGATCATCAGACCGGCCACCGACGCCGCATCAACTACACACGAGGTGACTACTTTTACAGGGTCGATGATGCCTGCTTCAAACATGTCAACGTAACGATCATTTTGAGCATCGTAGCCCATACAGCTATCTTTATACTCAGCAACATTTTCCACTGTGACTGCGCCCTCTTCACCTGCATTTTCGCTGATGCGTTTCATCGGAAGACGCGCCGCATTTCGCACAATAATTACGCCTGTTCGCCGATCCTGTTCCATTTCCTCGTCAGCTTGAAGAATCTTATCCAGCTCCTTTGAGGCATGAAGAAGAGCGGCCCCACCACCTGCGACAATTCCCTCCGCCAATGCGTTGCGCGAGGCATTGAGAGCATCAATCACACGATCTTTGGATTCGCTGATCTCCACTGATGAGCGCCCACCCACGCGAATAACGGCAAAGGTTTGGTTCAGTTTTGAGATGCGCTCACGAAGCTTATCCTTTGCTTCCTCGGACATAGCACGATCCAATCGGCCCTGTAGGAGACGGAGGCGTGGGGCTGGGTCCACCCACCCGGTAATGGTGGTGCTATCCATATTTTGTTCCATGCGCTTCGCAGAGCCCAACAGACACTTCACATCGTCCACAAGACCAATTGAATCAACCTTCTCCACAACACAGTTGCAGCATGCGGCAAGATCGTGCAACTCCTCCTCCGATAATTCAGGTGCGCACACCACGCCGCACAACACCACCTTGTGTACGTGGTTGTGGTAAATAGTTTGCAGCACCGTTTCAGAAAACCCACGTGCAACAATGACAAGCGATTTACCGTTTGTTTTGGCTGTCTCCAAGAGTCGTAGAATATCTCCAACAGCCTCCAACTTTTGTGCCGTTATAAACACAAATGGGGATTCAAGTTGACTCTCCAAATTTGCGGAATTCGTCACAAAAGCACTGGAAAGAAATCCATGCTCCGTACTCCAGCCATCGTAGCGCTTCCATTCCGTTGCCGACGTATTTCCATCGAGCACAGAAATGTAACCATTTACCCCAACGGCTTGCACAACAGAGGCAATCAGTTGTCCTAGGGGTCGTTCCCCATTGGCACTAATGGTTGCCACATTCTCCAACATTGCCAGGTCCTTCACAGGACGCCTCTGCTTTTGTAGGCTTTCGAGAATGACCCCAACGGCAAGGTCAATGCCGCGCTTAAGATCCATGGGGTTGGCACCCGTGGCCACACTCTTGTAGCCCTCAGCAAAAATACTCCAAGCCAGAATAGTCGCAGTGGTGGTGCCGTCACCCGCAACATCATTCGTCTTTCCAGCCACCTGCCGAATTAACCGGGCGCCGACGTCTTCAAACTGATCGTTGAATTCGATAGAACGTGCCACGGTCACTCCGTCCTTCGTGATCTTTGGCTCCCCCGTCGTCTGTCTGATAATGACATTCCGCCCCTTTGGGCCAAGTGAACCCCAACAGCGGGGCAAGCTTC